AAAAACTAGTAGTTTTTAACAGTTGGAGCAGGAGCTATGGGTAACACCCTGATGAGAGAAATTAGAACACGCATGCCTGCATAATTTCTCCTGTGAAATGAAGAGTGAAGAAGAGCCAGAGGAGAGTGGTCGTATAACACAATTCCAGAATGACAAAAGCAGGAAATTTTTCAATTGAAACTTACAACTCTGGTTAGTATAGTACTGCATGTTAGCATGCAAAGGCAACACCTAACGGCTATCCTGCGATTAAGCAAAACCAGACTTCCCTTTATCTTGCTGGCTGCTCGCTCCGCTTCTCAGCTGCTCGGGGCAGGCAGGGAAGGTGCGGGGCATGGTCCCACCTCAGGGCAGGTGCTGGTGTGGCTGGCGAGCTCTGGGCATTGGTTGCGGTGGGCTGGCTTCCTCCAAGCTGCCAAAATCCGTGAGCACAGTGGGCTGGTCACTTAGTCTGCGTCAGGATCCTAGCACAGAGAAGTGAAACTTGTAGTATCTCCAGTTACGTTTCATAAAGCAACATGTATCACTCTTGGTTCCAGTTCTGGACTTGGAGCAATAGTGAGTTGGGCTGCTTTGTGTGTCAGGTAACTGAAGTGTACGGTCAAGTGTGTGTGCTTGCCCATGTATCTGTCTGTGTGCTGTGCATATAAAACAGACATAACATATTGTTCATACGTGATTATTTTTTAATTGCTTGCCAGAGATGCAGTAAGGTTTATACTCCAGAATAATAATGTCTGGGATATATGTAAACTGGTTTGAGAATCCGGAGTTGCACATTTAGAGCCCAGAAGTTGTGCCACAAAATAAAGTAAGGTGTGATCAAACTAAGACAGAAATGTAATGCACTGAGTTCCATAGTACTTGCATCTGCACAAAGGCTGCAGCTTTTCACCTAAATGGCTTGAGTCTAACAGACTTGCATTCCTCGTGGTGCTATTCAGTGATGTTACAGTGGAAAGTCCTTCTGATTACAACTTTTGCAGCCATAATTTCTGTTTTAATGACTCATCACTATGTCTGTCAGGTAAACATAACAGACACTTTAATCCGCTAAATTTAGTGGCTTCTCTTCTCCTCGTCTCTCCTCTTCTTTCTCTTCTCTTCAATTCTGTTCTGTCTGTGAAACTCTGATGGAATCAGCTTACCAGGCTTGAAAACAGGGTGTGATGCAGCTAGTACTTTGTTTTAAAACATGCTCAGAGAAAGTGTGAGAGACGATTTTATTTTTCTTTTCCCCACATGTTAAGATTTCCTGACATACAGGACAAAGACCCAGTTGGTTACTGCTGTTTACTGTAATAAAAACAGTAAACTGATGCTCTTATGCATTGCAGAGAACTCTCTCCATGCATTGTGAGTAGGTCTTGGCTGTTGGTATGCTTTGGTATGTCTATAAAGCCAAATTAAATCTCTCCACAGTGAAATCAGGTTTATTACAGTGTAATTTCCTTCTAAAAGCAAGTCTCCTTTTAAGGACTTTTATCTAAAATAACTGATGAATATAATGGCATTAAATAATAAAATACTGTTATGATGCCAAAAAAAACTTCTCAGTCCCTTTGATCTTCATTTTGGCTAAAGATATAAAATTCCACTAGAGACTCTTGTAACAGACTCCATTAATCCAGACAAATTGTTTTGAAAAACAGCAACTATAATAGATGTTGATTAAGACAGTGAATAACCTTCAGTTGTAATTTTCGATACAGCTTGAGTTAACTCCACATTAATTGGAGTCACGCCTCTAAGTCATGTTGTACTGCTCTGAAATCTGCATGTGGCTATTTCTGTTTGTCTTGGCTTTAATTAATCATTCTCTTATTTCTTGGCAGCAGCCATTATTGGACAGGGAAATACAGTTCCAGGTGTAGTCTTGAGCCTTTACGGCTTCTGCCTGCCTTCTGCATACTGTGGCTCTGTGCAGCACAGGCGGTCCTAGCAGCATGGAGCCTTGCAGCAGATGAAACACAGATATGTCTGTAGTATTTCCAACTGGTGTGCTGATGGGAACTTTCTCTAGCAGTCTTTAAGCCTTTCTTCTCTCATTGAAAAAGTTGACACTTATTTTTTTCTACATCTGCATTGTTTAGTAACATGCAGTACATGTGTAATGTAAGTTTCTGTGTGTTTGCATGCTGCTTGATTTTTTGTTTTGCCATAAAGCTTTACATGACTACCTAAGAATAAGAAGGATCCCATTTAAAGAGATGCAGATATATGTTGTTTATGTTTAGAAAAAGAAAGACATCTGGTTGTGACAACACATCATTATTTTATGTGCTTCTAAAGAATGCACCAATTGATATAATTATTTCGATTGAGTGTCATTGGAGTTAATAAAGAGAAGTGCCCTGAGAACTGCAGTGTCTATATGGCTTGGCCATTTGTGCACTTTGGGGACCTCGTTTCCGATTGCCTTGTTCTTTCAAAGTTCCCTTATGGGGCAGGGGAACAATTAACTCCTGTAAAGCCCAGGAGCAGCTGGGCCCACTAATGATGGGCAGTATGGATTTGTGCTGTGTGATATACATGAATTTGTCCCCAGGGATAGTCCCTCGGTGTTACCCCAGCACGTCTTGTGCCGTTAAGAGCCCTCAGACAACGTGGTGCCACTCCTCATGGCATGCAGTGCATGTACGCGCTCAATCTTACGTTACTAAAAACATTGCTCTGGGGTAAATCTTGTGCCTTGTGGATGTAACCAGTCTGTTCCAGCTAGTCCAGAGGAGCAGAGGCAGAAACGGGGCTGTGCTGCTTGATCGATTCCCCACAGGGGTAGCCCACAAAGAAAGCAGAGTTTGCCAGACATGATAGGAAGCCTTGGGCTGCCTCCCAGGTCGTCCTGTAAGCTGGTTCACCAAATTACAGTTGAAAAATAATTTATGTTTTCTAGAGTTTGATTGTCGGGTTTTTGCCTGTTTTCCTTGTTGTTCCTGTTTTTGCATGCTACCTTAATGGTCAAGCATGCAGAGACTGAATTAGCAATTCAGTATGTGTGACTGGCAGTGGGGACGGAGAGTGAACGTGGTTGTTGGAGTGCTCAAGTTGGCTGTTACCACGTGCTTCTCACCTGAATTCAATTCTTGCAATGCGAGGATAGCTATAAGAAGGTTTAAGTGCCAGCATGTTGAATAGCAGTGAAGAATAGAAGAACCAGAGGTGTCTGAAAAGGCAGAGGAGTCAGTGCCAGTGTAAGGGATGGCAGCAGTGGTTTGGAACGTGCACATTAACCCCAGGTTGTCAGCTTCCAAGGAAAAGCAAGAAAGCAGCCATAGGAGGAGGTAAGAAATTTCCTAGCAGTGTTAAAATAAATGCTGAAAACAGGATTTATCGGTACGAATTTTGCAGCTGTATTGTTCAGAACGTCCTTGTGGTACCTGAGATGTGCGTGAACAGGGCTTGGTGCCAGTGTGGCAGTGAGGCGGGGAGAGGAGGGAGATGGTGCTTTGCATTTTTGCAGGAGATCTTTTGGGGGTGTGTGTTTTATTTTAGTTTTTAGTTTAAGCGTTTCTAAGGCTCCCTCTGTAGGTGTCAAATGAAGAGAAGCTTCTCCAAAGGTTGATTTAGAACAGCTAAATTAAGTATCTGTCTGGATCTCCCTTTGGAGGAACTCTGTCAGAGGAGTTTTTCTCTTTGCGTTAGCTAGAGAGAGCCATGGTGATGGCCATCACAAGTTGCTAGGCTTTTATGACTATTCCCCTAACCGCGTGTGTGTGAAACTCCAATAAATGCTCAGTGAAAAGTAATGTCAATATTTTATTCCTCTGGGAGAAAGAAGCTTGTGTTGTTCGTAAGGCTGCAGTATTGAAGAACGTAATGCAGATGGTTTGAGTTCTGTCCCTACCCTGACTCTGTTAAACACAACTTTCAGGTATTTTAATCTGTTTTGTTGACACCTGTATACAACTTCCAGTTATTAACATTTGATTTATTTAAGTTTGTGTGCAGTGGGGAATTATTAGATTCCACATCCCATCTAAGGGCTTGCTCTTAATAAATTGCTCTCTTCTGATGGTCCCTCAGAGCTTTAAGGAGGGATGCAGTTGTACTTGGTAACTAGAAACAACACATTTTTAAAAAATAACTAGCTATTACTGTAATGGTCGTGACAGGAAACAAATGAAATTAATTTAGCTACTCTCTGGCTGGAATTAAAGGGTTGTGTCTGGTTTTTTTAAATATGTTGTTCGTCAAGACAATGATGTGTTTATGGTATTACAGAAGCATAGAAATTTGTGGCACTGTATGAAGACATTTTTATTTCAGCTCTAATCATAGGTAATCTAAACATAACTTACTGACTGTGAGAAGCACATGTAATATGGTAAACTGTCAAATAGATGAGTTAACTGTCTGTCAATCACTTATTCTTCTGAGCTACCACTGCTGCGTGTGTGCTACTTATTTTCTTGTTATGGGGAGAGAGTGCAAATTTAGTTTATGCATCTTCTCTAAGCAGTAAAAGAAGCAGTTTTTCTAGCTCTAGTAGTGGCACAGTTACTATCAACTTTTTAAAAAGCTTGGTACTGAATACAGACTGATGCCTGAAACTCTAGCTGGTGCCAAGGGGCTGACTAGGAAGCGTTGGCTGAAAACCTGCTGTTTAAATTTTTGCAAAGTGTGTACTTGGAGCTTACAGCTGCGTTCATAGTTGAAGACTGAGCCATTTCTGTGTTACGCTGGCATTAAAATACAGAGTGTGACTTTCAACGTGAACTGAAGGCGCGCTTAGATTTAAATTTCCTTCCACGCTTTTAGCAAATGCAGTGCAATATTGGCCTATGGCATAAGAAACTAACATGAAACTAAACATCACTAAGTGTTGTGAATCTGGGGGTTTTTTTTAATTGCATGCTGCTCTTAAACTGCCCCTTAACTAATTAGGTAACTAGGAGCTTAAAAAGCATGTTCGCTTAGAGGAGTAGCTATTTCATTCTCCTGTGGCTTTTTTTTCCCTGACTTTCTGTTCTTTTTTTTTTTCCCACCCCTTAGTCTTCATGAAGAAATCATTGACTTTTATAAGTATATGTCTCCCAGACCTGAAGAAGAGAGAATGCGGATGGAAGTGGTGACCAGGATAGAAAATGTTATAAAAGAGCTCTGGCCTAATGCAGATGTGAGTAGAACACTGTTCTATTTGTTAATACATAAAAGCAATGTTTTATGCCTGTTTACTTTGTGAAGTATTGAATAATGAAAATACTCTTTATTTTTCCGTATTAAAAAAAACAACAGGATTTCTGGTCAAATGAGAGAGATGGTCTTTATTTCTAGAATAATACAGGTCAACATTTTCTGTCACACATAGGAACAAAGACAAGCTAGACCTACTGTAGTCAAAGAAAGGGCGTAAGGTGTGGCAACATTTAGTCTCACTAATATTTATTTACTAAGATTAATGGGAATGTATTGGGCATGCATGCATGCTTGTAAAGTACAGTGGTAAAAAAAAAAAAAAGTTCTGAAACTCATAGCTTCACTAGTAGCAGGGTTTCTAGTCCAAAGACCTGCATTCTTGAGAAAGCCTATTAAGGTGCCAGCAATGCCATGTTATGTAGACCATGCTATTTTAATGGGCAGTTAAACTAAATTGACATATCTTACAAATTTAAATGAACCAGGTTTTTGTACAGGAACAAACAAGTCTGTAGATCTGTCTATTGAGCTTAAAATCTATAATGCTTCTTTCCACTGAAGATGGGTTTTTGCTAGCCCTTCATTCAGTCTCAACAAGAACTATGCTTTTTTTAATATACGTTGGATTAAAGAGAAGCCAGAGAAGTTGCTTTTACAACTCAGGATGGTTTTATGGGGACACAGTTGGATTTTTAGCATAATTGAATCTAGTTTAATTGTATCCCTCTGCTAACATGGTGTTCATTTCCAGAACACAGATTTGTAGTAGTCATCTCTGTAGATAACAGTAGCTGAAAATAAGGACTTGTTAGCCGGAATAGCAAACCAAATTCAGACAGCAGAATTTTCAGTATAAGGAATACTCTTTGATCTTGCCACAGCAAAAGATAGTGTTTTGACATGAGTGACTCAAACCCAGTGTTCATTTCAGATGTTCTTAACCTGTTTTTTGGAAAGTGTTTTTAGAAATTGGCAGAGTGTGTCAGAATATGAATTCTTTATAAGCTGTATGTATGTGGTGTGTGGCTTTGTGTGTAAAATATAGTCCCATTTTCAAGGTGGTTCATGTTGTTACGGACAACGTATGAATGACATATAATATGGAAGGAGCACTCTCCACTCAGTGATAGCTGCCTTTGCATGGTTATAGGGAGCTGATAGAGTCAGTACTACACATGTCTGGTCATTTTCTCTTTGAGCAAAACCCGTAACTTTTCCAAGGGAACTGTGTAAGAGACTTTAGCGTATCTCACGGGTGTTGTATAGCTGTCGTCTAACCCAGTGAAACAGTATTGTAGACCCTGATCAAGAGTAGGAGTAGTGGGCTGCCAGTCTGACAGGCAATAGTATATGAAACAGTGGGGGTATGAAACGGTGCTTACTATATACACCCTGACAAAGTCTTGTAGTAGGGGATTCCACCAAAATAACTGATTGCTTCAGCCTAGAGAAGGTGCTGCTATTTCCTAGACAAGTTTGTGTGCTGCAGGCTGAACTAGTGTAATGGGGTGAATGGATTTATTACCAGGGGATCTTTCTTTGTTACCACTAACACTTTGAATGGGGCACAGAAACTCAGTGCTTCCAGAGATAACTCTGTTTGTTGGACAGACTTGATCTGTAAAAGCTAGGTCTTTTGTATTAAAAATAATTCGTATTTTTAATATTTAATATATTTTTTATATATATGACTTTGGAGCCTTGAGAAAACAGTCTTTCTTTAAGCTACTGAAACTGTTTTTTGTAACCATAATCTCTTTAAGAAGGGAAAGCAAATTGCGAGCCCTACCACGAGTGACAGCTGACCGCTGGGCTTAGCTGTAATGTGACCAAGAGGAAGCACACACTGTACAGTTGAAAACTGAAGTTCACTTTTCAATTAGTGTCAGTTACAACTGCCGTGGCCATCTTTCTTCGCTGTTCTTGCAAATTTTAGAGAGCAAGAGCATGCCAATTCCTTTTTCTCAAGTCAGTAATGGCTCTTCAAAACCTAACTCTGCATTTTGCCTGCTGTTGTTACGTTGAGGAAGAATTCTCCTCTTGTATGCCCTTCCATTTTCTGGAGGCTAGAAGGGAACTGAACAGTGACAACAGCACACCAGGTTGTCATCTGGAAATTACTGTAATGTTATTTTTCTAATACTTACTTTACAGATCTGAACTGCAGAACTCAATTGTGTTCAACTTTGACAGTCTTTTGTTGTAATTTTTCAGTCGTTTGAGTTAATCACTAACCTTTTGGAAATCTGTGTTCGTTTAGCTACTTGTAAGATTTAAGTTTTGAGTACGTGCTCTGAGAAGGTGGAGTGTTATCTGGTCCAATGTCCTCAGCTTTAGCTGTAGTGTAAAGCGGTAAGTTAATGTTTAAACTGTTCATTTTGAGTCATAGATGCAACGAATCCAGCTGAAATAAACTTGTAAGTTAAACATACACATTTAGTTTGTAGTTTCTCGCTAAACACGTAGGTAAGACATACTCTATAAAAATCAGATACCAAGAAAAGGAAAACCAGACTTCATGAATCTAAGTGTATAGAGAGCATGTGGAATGTGTCTATGCACGTACTTTTTTTTTTTTTCCCCCCCTGTTCCACTTAGGAAAAGGCTGAAAAAGCAGATGGCCGGGGGGTAAAACTAGGTATCCTAAACTGTTACTTTATTTATAGAAGTTAGCAATTGTGTCATTTGCTCTCTTACTCAAGGGAATGTGCTTAGAAGGAAACATTCCTAGTAAGTGAGAACTGTTCTTGGCATCAGCAAGGCTCTGACCCTAAGAAAGGCTTTAATTACACTGAAACTGAACAACCCAAAACATTAAATGAAAGCATTTTAAGACAAAGTTTTTTGACCAGTTGAATATGAAAACTTGACTATTGAACAAATAAGTACTTATGCAGTGGAATTCAGGATATGTTTGTCATAATGTCCTCAGCTTCGTGTCTGGGTATTATGTGGCTCGTAGATCGGAAAAGAGGTGATGTCGCATACTTCACGCACTTCAGTTATGAAAATACTGTGATTGGGAGTGGAAGTAGGAAGATTAACTCTATTTAGTTTGACAAACTTCGGAAAATTCTATTTAATGATGTAGAAGAAAGGGAAATTTAAATTGGCTAGAGACAGATTTTTTTATTTTGATGGAGGGATTTTGGTAGCAAGGACTTTCCAAGCTTTTGTGGGTTTCCAAGTTCTGTTGTGCATAGTGAGGACATATTTGGACACATACTGTAATTAAAGTTCCTTCAGGAACTTCGGAATTTAGTATGAACAAGTTCACAAAAATCTAGGATAAATAGTAACAATAACATACAGGAGTAGGAGGAGGCCATTAAAGTATTGTGAAGTCTTAAGTTATCTTATGAATGCAAATACGTTTCTCTGTCCACATAGAATAAAAACATGATCAGCAGTGTTGGTATGCCACAAAAACTAATGCTCACATCTCTCAAGTCATAATGGTGTCCTGTATTTGGGATGCTGTAAATATGTACATGGCTACAGAGCTTCAGCAGTTTAAATTCTGATTCAATAATAAATCAAAATCCTTTAAAATTTCTGTTCTGATTTCCCCATTCTTCCATCTTTCCAGATTTGATGAGAGAGGGATTGACGTGTGGGTGTGGGTTTCTTGTACAATAATTTGGAGTGTGAGAAACACTGAATTGTTATAAAACAACAGATGTTGTCTCATTCCTTTCGGTAAAGGTCATATATGTTGTATCAGTAAGTTTATGAATACTTTCGGGGTTGTTTATTCAATAAAGGCTCTCTTTGCTGTTCAGCTGAACTCACTATTTCGTTTGATAATGTGAAAGCACATTTATTTTTTTCCGAACCCATCAGTGGTGTTTTCATTGTGCAAAGGCACTCCTCAGATGTTTTTGGTGGCCAAGTAAATCCTTGTTTGACTGAACCCAGTTTCACAGAGGATGCTTTTATTACTAGCCTGGATTAAAAATAGTAATAATTCTTATTATTACGTTCTTAGCTTTGTGATGCCTTTATGCCTTTGTCAAGATCTAGTACAATATTGGTCCTAGTTCTGTGACATCTCTTGCAGTTTTTTCTGTTTTGAGAAGCTATGAACTTTCAACATTAAATTTACTGCCAGCGTGTGCTTTTTGTTGGGGGTCAGGGTGAGGGGGTAAGAAGAGTGAAGTGATATAAAATAATCAAGAGGAAGCACGCACACTGCTTCTTAGCCTACTAAAGTATCAAGACACTTACTTGTAAAACATCATCTTTTCCCGTCTCCCCTTTTTCTTATCCTGAAGGGGAAAACCATAAAAAGTGGGTCACCTGACTTACAAATAGGTGGCAATCAAGCTGGTGTATGAGACTCATTAAAGCAGAATACGCAAGTCTGAAGGTGGCTCCAGGAAACGCATCAGAAGACTGTCTGGTTGAAAATTAGTCCAAATGTGTAGATATTTTTACTTTGAAGCCTCACCAGTCCCCCTTTGAGACTTAGCACATGAGTCCAGCTTCCCTGCGAGGCTTGGCTCAGTTAATGAGAATGTGGTTTCGGACAGCTTACAATGGAAACCTGATTATTTAAACCTCCAGTACTGGTAAAAATCCAGCGCGATAAACTAAATCTGTGGGATGTGAAACTGTAAAAAAATTTGTTTGTTTGTTTTTTAAGCAGACATAAGCAGAGTTGTGCTACTTGCTCTGTAATTCAGGAAAAAAAAAAGATTTTTTTTTTTTTAAAGTATGCAAAGCAATGGAAATATATTAAACTTAGAAAATGTGTTTAAAAACTGAAGGGTATACTTTGAGATATGAAAGTGAAAAATACATTGAGCTGATTGAACTGGTTTTTTATGTTCTATCATTCTTAAGTGTTTTAAAATCTTTTGGTTTATGAGTTTTTGCCAAATTTGGTCATGGTGAAAATTTTTACATTACGTAGAAGGTTTCATAAGAGAAAAATCAAAGTTATTAATGTTTTGTGGGTAATAACAATGAAGATTAGCCATTTATACTACATTGAAGATGTAGATGTTTTAACGGAAAAGGGTACTTCTCTTCAGAATGTGCCTGTTAGCAATACCGAAATCTACCAATGGAGGGTAGCAATAACCAGCCTTTACAAGCAACTTAATAGAACCTGTTTGTCTTTTGAAGCCTGAAAATTTGTTTCATATATCCTGTTTTTGTGTTTCAGGTGCAGATATTTGGAAGTTTTAAAACTGGCTTATATTTACCTACAAGGTTAGTATTTTTTCAGTGTAAGTTCCGTACAAGAGAAAAGATAGCCCATGGAACCTGTACCCCGTAGTGATTTATCTGCTCTCCCAATAGCTGTGTTACTTCTGTGTATAGTTGTTATATTAAGTAAGTGTTAAGCTATTAGTACTCTGCAAAGTATACAGAAATACAGTAATCAAGACTGTTAACCATAATACATGTGTCTATATAGATATTACATGTATTGCTAAAAGAGCTGAATTACCATGTTGTCAAAAAAGGCTTATTTTGTGATTTGGCTTCATTAAATGACTGAACCAAAGTAAGAGGTTGGCCTTAAAAGAAAAGCTAAATTTTATCTCCACAGATGATTAAATTGAAACATTTAACGTTACCTTGTTAATGCTAATGTTAGCACTGAAGAGAAAAGATTACATACAGAACTGGTTTTTTCTTTCAGTCTTATTTTGTGAAATCTGTACAATAGTCAGTCTCTACCTTTTCCAAATTTATTACTAGTTTTCATAAAGAAAAGTCATTATTCAGTGATACTGGTATCTTCTGTGTAGAAATTGTAAGTATTTTTGACAATTGAATAGAAATGGAATGAAAGGCTTAAATGGCTGCAAGGGATAGACACATTTAAATAGCTTTAAGTCTGAGGTTAACACTTGGATTGAGTTCTGTACTTCGGGAACATAAAGAATTAATATCTAGTTCTGACTGCAAGTGATGGATACCCCAGTCATCATTTCATCTCTTTTTGAAGAAGAAAGTATCTGACAGTCTTAAGGTGTTGCAGGAAAGCTGAATTGCTCAGTTTCAAGCGTACAAATACACATTGTTTTCGCATTTGGCCTCATTCTTGGCCTTTTTTAAATTGATTTTTAAATAGGCTTGATTAAACTTGGTTGGATGCTGATAATGCAAGAGAGAGATTCCTGTCCACATGACTGATAGTAGTTCTTTACTATATTTACTTGATTGTTTTGAAACTGATGTAACAAAAACGCTTTGCTGTTGTCTGTTTGATTTCATATACTGCCTTTCCTCCATATTTGTTTCAGCTGAGTTTTGGGGGAGAACAAATGCTTTAAAACCAGTACATAAACCCACAAAAAACCTTCCTGTGGTGGTACTTGTCAAACTTTCAAAATAACCAGTATTTGTGTGTTGGTAATTAATTCACTGTTGCATTCTAGCAAAGCTTCCCTTTGCTCTAGGTTTTCTGCACCCGTCAGTAACGGTATAGTTAATCTCCAGTTCAGGTTCCTGGATTAAGAAAGGCCTACAGTGTGTTTTTAATTCTGTTACTCTGTGTTAGAAATTGCTTAATATCCTTTTAGTTAAGCTGATATTGAAGGGTTTGAGCACAGGGTTGTTTAGCTGCTGGATCTCTGTTACTTTGCAGGCAGTATCTATCTTCAAGGTGACAACACAGCTGCTTTTTCTCTCTTGGTATGCATCAGAAAAATGTCTCCCGTTGTTAACTGTCAGCATCAGTAGTGGCTTTAACACTAATTTAGTTTGGAAGACAAAAGTGTCCAGCAACATTTCCTGCGTGCCAAGCAGGTTTTGAACGTAGTTTTCTGAAACTGGCTGAGTGCTGCCTACCCTTGTCAGCTGAATGGTATGCAGCTGAACTGCTGCTGAACTTGCCTGCTGCCGACACTGCTTGTCGGCAAGAGATATTTCATCTAATGCAGATGTGGTTTCTTTGAGATTGTTAAAGCAGTGTTGTTTGTGAATCAGCAGACCTGTAGAATCTACGGGGAGGAAAAAAGTAGTCCTCATTTTTTCGGTGTTTTCTGTTACGCAGTTTTCCATATTACTGAAGTGGCCTGCTAGTATAACTATAGGGTTGTACACTCACCTCCTTTGTATTCCCAACCAAGCAGGGGAAATCAAAGAAGAAACCGGGGAGCAAAGAGGAAGAAGCTCAGGATCTCACAGTAGCCTTCACTGTCTTCAGTTTGGACACCAGTCACCTTTTGAATTTGAGTTTAGGCATTGAATTAGGGTGCCAGCTCCACGTATAGTCAGATGAATGTGTATGTGCATAGGAAGGAGGTGTAGCGGGATGGAGATGCCTCTTCAAGGACCTAAGTTAATGAGTGAAGTTAATTAGACAGTTTGATCTTATTTAACAGCCTGTTGCTTCCTGAAGTCAAAGTTGCCACATTTTCCTCTCTCCTTCCCTGCTCCCTGTTCTTGGCACTACAGGCCAGCTGCTTACCATGTGCCCACTGGTGCTCTGATCACCCAGAAAACTAACTTTGAGTTGCAAAGAAGAAGGAAATTATCCCAGAATCTTTTGGTTTTTTTTAAAGGGGTGGGGGGAGTTGGTCTCTGCCAGGCCCATTAATATGTTGAATTCATTTGCAGTGGATTAGACAAATACCAGACCTAGAGTAAAGGAGGGAACAGGACCATGCATCTGGGAGTAGAGGATGGGGAACAGGACTTTCCCCTTCAGTGACAGGCTGTTAAATAGGTGTTAACTGATTAATACAGCCCAAAGGTGGTGATTCACAAGAAGTTAATTTCTTGCTCTGAGTCACTCTGGAGAAGCTGATCCCTCTGTGCTGACAGTGTGGCCAGAGGAGACTAATTTCTGACTTTGCAACCAAATTAATTGATTTGTATGGGTATCTGTCCCCTCCCCTTGGTACCTGAAATGTTCTGTATTTCCCCAAGTGCAAGAGTTCATCCCCACCCCTTTCCTCAGAAAATTAAGAATAAATGATTTGGTTAAGCTACATTCTGTCAGCTTTACTCTAGTTATGTGTGGATGTCAGTTGTTTATCTTTTAAATGTATTGGTCTTTTAATTTGAATAAATCTATATTTTCCTTCTATTTCAGTGATATTGATTTAGTTGTGTTTGGAAAATGGGAGACATTACCTCTTTGGACCCTGGAAGGAGCTCTTAGAAAGCACAATGTAGCAGATGAAAACTCAGTGAAGGTTTTGGATAAAGCAACTGTAAGTTTGGGGGAAGAAGGTGTTTCCTTATTTTAGCTAAATTTCTAATCAAAGCAAGATCTTTGTAAAAAGGATGAATTTTCATAAGCAGAAACAATTTTATGTATAAATTTGAAATAGAACCTTTTTATTTAGTACAGTTTTTATTAGTGACAAAATAACTGATAGTGCTCCAACAGAAGCATTTCTTCTGTTGGGGAAAATCATGAGATTTTCTGTACTGCACAACATACACTTGCTTTTAAATGAGGTTATACTAGCCATTGTTGTGAATTAATGTGATTAGGCTGGTGAATTTCTGGACTGAGTTTGTACATAAGTAAATAATTTATTTTTTCTTATTCCAAGTAAGCAGACAGAATACATTTTCTCATAGTAGTAGTAAGTACAGCCTTGTATAAATATGTAATGGTATGTCTTGCGCAGGATAGGATTAATTCCATTGTAACTTCCTACCTTTTTCTAATTGTAAGAGTATGTAAGTGTGTTGGGTTTTAAACAGGTGTCTAATTGATGGCTATTATTAGAAGAGAGAGGTAATTTGGAAACCACTCAGGTGGAGATAGGTCAGAATGCTCTCAATATCTTCTGCTTCTGTTTGAAGGTAATTTTGATGAGGAATCAATGATCCACAGTGACATGAGTGTGTTTTTTCTTAAGAATATCTGTCTATTACCATTTATCTTTATTTCTTAAGCGTTTGTCTCCCTCTGGTGTTTGTTTTTCCCACTAGAACTATGCTTCTGCACCAGGAACTGATTAAAAAAATTTTAAATTAATCACTTTGAAGATGAAGCGTTAAGTTCTGTCAAACAGGATAGTAAATTGAAAATAGCATTTATGAGTTAGAAAAGCAAAGTTTATGTAAACAGATTGGCAAGGAGAGTGAGTTCATAAATAGACATGAGTCCTGTTTTCTCTGTCAACCTCCTCTACAAATTCATAAAACGTTTCCGTTCTGCTGGTGCATGTAAGTATCAATGAAACCAGATGTGTCTTGGAAATCTGTATTGACTCAATCTGCCTTTCTTTTGTAGGTACCTATTATTAAACTGACAGATTCCTTCACTGAAGTAAAAGTGGATATAAGCTTTAATGTACAGAATGGGGTTAAAGCAGCCCAGCTCATCAAAGATTTTATCAAGGTTAGGCAACACTATAGTATAACTACAGAGCTGAATATTTGATGACTTAATTTGATTTTCTGTTTTACTCTGCATCCTTACTAGAGATACGCTTTCACTCTCTTTTATTTTTTGCTGTCTGATACGATTATGTGACATGCTTAGATTTTAGACATATTGCCGTAAAAGGCATGAAGATAGTAAAATGTACAAAAGAAAGTATGGAGAAGTTATAATGATAACAATGACTGAGGAAGATACACTAAACCTGTCTTAAATGTTCTGCTCTTCTAACTGTGGTTCCTTGGACTTAAAATTAGTAATAACCACACATTCCTGCAGCAAGAAGGAATAATCTTGTTCTAGATTGAATATTGTTTCAGCATACAAATACTAATTAAATAGAGTAAGTTAAATTTAGTAAGTTCTTGTTCAGGGATTCACTAATACCTGTATTACAGATACATTACAGTTATTTTTTGTTTAATATATAGGATCGTTTTGTTAGGATTAATGAGCTTTTGTATTTAAAGTTTTGAAGTATCATTACACTTTTTTCCTTTCCTTCCCTTCCCCTATTCAGTGCATTGGACACTCGTAGTAAATGTCTCATAAAAGCAGTAGAAAATTATTCTTGGATTTTCATGTTTTGTGTAGGGAGATGAAGTGCAGTTCAGTCTCACTTAAGTGCTTAGGTATTACTGTTCTACTACTAACTGCTTTGTTTTTTTAACCAAACTAATGGACAGCAGGAGAATCGAAGTATTTCAATAGCTAGACAAGTAAAACTCCTTCAGAAAACTCTGTAAATCTGAATAAAGCAAGCATTTTACTTTCATAAGGGTTAGAAATCATGTACGTCTGCTTTAATAATGTCACCGAGTTGCAAGAAGCCTTCCAAATTTGGGAGGATTTTCAGTTGTTGACGAGTTGAATGTATGGCCTTCAACTTGTTAATCTTCAGTTCCTTTATGTATGTTTAGTAGCAAGTATGCAAGTAGCTCAGTTTGCTTCTACAGTGTCTATTCTTTAACCTGTAGAAGGACACAGGAGAAAAACCTCTGTCCTTAGTTCAGTTTCAGTAGAATAGTCTGAGTTCTTGTCTGCATGGTCTCACCTTTGTGCTTATATAAACCTTCAAACCTTGTGCTGGTGAGGCCTCTTGCATCCATGTTCAGAGTAAGAGGGTGGCGTGGGTCCAGAGACCTTTCTCTCAGCCTCTATCTGATGAACAGAAGTGGATTGTGTTGGCCGACCTTTTGCTGCTAAATCAAGACTGATAGTTTTGTGCTACGTAGCTCCTTGTTAGGGAAGGAAGATGCCCAGATTCTCTGTCGTAACACACCTACTTGGAATTTGGTGGCTAACCGCAGTTTTTACATCCTGTGCATTGTCGCATTGCCTTGTGGTAGACAGGCTGTCCATATTTGGTTTTCTGCCACAACACAGGCTTTATTTGTGTTACACTCCATATAAATTTATTTTTAGGTAGGTCCATAAAGCCCTGCATACTTGCCCAAAATTGCCTATGTACTTCTTAATTTCAAGGTAGGAGGTAGTCTTCTCTTGAGAGCCAGAATGGATTTTTTGTGTGATTAAAAAAAGGAAAAAGTGTTACTGTGTTCCTGTTGCCTGGGTTATTTGTAACCCTTTAGAGAGCCTGCTTTGGTCTTGGGTCAGAGTGGGGAGAGAGTGTGAGCTGCGTGTGGCAGCTGGGCAGGCGCGGGGTAGAGGCCTTGCCTGCCGGGCTGCAGCCCTGCAATACCCCAACCTGAAGAGCAGAGTGGGTTTGGTGACAGTAGTTGGGGTCAGCTCACAATCCAGCCAGTGGCTGGCAGACAAGTCCCCAGTGAGGAGGTCGAGGCTGAGGACACCAAGTCAGTGGTTAGCATCAGGATTAGGGTCAGGGTCAGCATCAGTACACAGCAGCGTGGCTCAGGCAGACACCAAGGGGAACAGCTGAGATGAAAAGCAGCTCTCGAGCGAAGTGGAGGGACTCCCAGCTAGGCTTCCCACACGGTGCTTTCCCACGTGGCTGTTTTCCCAGCAGCCCAAGCCAAGGCCATGCAGCTGTGCCATACCAGAGCTGGCCTTGAGCATGGGTGGCTGAGCCTGGTATGGCGGGGAGAGGTGGCAGTCAGCCCTGACACACGGCAGGTAATGGCTACCCTACTGTGGAGGATCGTTTGTTTAACTTGGAGTAAACTTGATGTGTACTTGCCAAGTGGCTTCATTGGTGTTCTTGACAATCTCTCTATAAAACACTTGCAGGGCATTCTCTTGGGTCTTATTTTGTCCTGCGTAACTTTGAGTACGTAACTGAGATGTCACGTTCAGTGTTACCCTTGGAAATGCAGATTTCACTTCATCCAGTTTATTTAGGATGTCTGAGGCAGCTGAAGCCTTAATTAAGGGTTTGCAGTTTCCTGAAAAAAATTCTGTCTTTCAGTTTTGGTATGTACTGATACTCAACACTTCAGCTTGTGACTGTAAGTTCTTCATAGTTCAAATAGGTGATCTTGGGATCTTCACAGAATCATAGAATCATTTAGGTTGGAAAACACCTTTAAGATCATCTGGTCCAACCATTAACCTAACACTACCAACTCCACCACTAAACCAATTAAGGGTAGAGTAATAATTTCACCTTAACCTGGCTTGGTGGCTGGATTGTTTTTTAATGAAAGTAAAACTAGAATTAGAATCATTAGGGTTGGAAAGGACCTCTAAGATCATCAGTCCAACCATCAACCCAACACCACCATGCCTACTAAACCATGTCCCCGAGTGCCACGTTTACCCGGTTTTTAAACACTTCGGTTAAATAGGGCTCCCAGTACTCACCGTAAGACTCGTGCAGTGAAGTTCTTGGAGAAATTCTTCTTTTCCTTTTAATCTTTTGCAATCACAGATACCATGATCCACGTCTCTTCTCTGACACTAAGGAACTTTTTAGCTCTGTGTTGGTAAGAGGAGTGGTATTATGGAGCCTTTTTTGCCTCCTACCCTGTGAGGGGGTGTACAGAGTGCAGGTGTAGCCCCAGCCTCTGCTGTTGTCCAAAAGGTCCATGTTCTCCACACGTGCAGCATATGCACACCTCTAAGGGAATCCATGCGGACAAAACTACTGAAGGACCAGTAACCCAAAGATAAGTATTTGGCTGCTTTGAAAATGTTTTCTGGGTGTAGTAATTTTGAAGGACCGTTTTGAACTCTGGGCATCCGAAGTACTTGCAGGCAGAAGTCTCAGTCCACCTTGGGGTATTACCTTGGTTGTAGCAGGAAGGTTTTGTTACAGACGTGGAATATCTCCATAGTTCTTCTATTGCTTTCCTTTTCACTTGTATGAGAAAAGCAAGTGTATTTATATAGTCAAACAAAATAATTCTGATTTTATGAGGTAATAGCTTTTTTCTATTGTTACTATCTGCCACTGGAGTTGAAGAGGTAAAATAACTGTCTTGATCACAGGCAGAGCACTTGGCTTCTCCCCTGTTACTAAAAATAGTAAGTTAGAATTATACTTAGCTTTGAGACTTAATATAACAGGTAGCTTCAATGCATCACAGTATCCTAACACCTTTGTTTTTCTCTTTCAGAAATACCCTGTGTTACCGTATCTAGTTTTAGTATTGAAACAGTTCCTGTTGCAGAGGGACCTTAATGAAGTATTTACAGGTGGAATCGGTTCTTATAGTCTGTTTTTAATGGCTGTCAGTTTCCTTCAGGTGAGCTTAATGAAATCTATTGATGCCATTGGTGCAAAAGGACATTACGTTAGGAAGCAATTTTATCAATCCTTAAATTTGATCATTTAAGATCTCCTGTTTGTGGTTTTGCACTCCTTTTTCATTTAAAAATAGACACAACCCAACTGTCTTCTGTTCTTTCTCCCATACTGGTACTTTTGGGATTAGAGATGTTTGGAACATCCATTGCTGTATCAGTACCAGGCACATGTGTCCTTCATGGTAAAATAACTTGACTATTGTGTAACTTCTTCGGGACAAACTACATAGGTTAGTGTTAGATGCAGCTGTCCTTTTTAACTCTTGTTTTCCAGGTCATACACCCTGTATGTGTTTTAATGAATGCAATGGAATTTTCTTGTTTGTCTTAAGTTTTTAAGCTGGCATCAAATAAATGTGTTTTACAACTTTCTCTGAGATTTAAGAGAACAAAATGCGTGAACTAAATCTATATCGTTGTGCCTGGGGGAAAAAATACTGTAGAAATATGAAATAGCTGAGTTCTGGCTTTATCAGCCTCGTTCTTTTTCTTGTACTAAATGTTATCATGTAACTCTGTGTGTGTATGTGTATGTCTGTACTCTTCCAGATTGTAGTTAGTTTTAAACCTGAGCCTTGAACTGGAGCTCGGTGTTTGCTGAGTGCTATTGCAGTTGCCTGCTGAGCACAAAAGGAATGAAGGCAACAGGCATATCTTTTTGAAAGAAACCAAAATCTCTCCCAACCCCAATTTTTCTTTTATTGACTAACAGCCTTTCCATGTGCTCCTGCAAAAAAAAGAAGTCAAGTTTTGTATCTCTTACAATTATGAACTGGTTTTGTTCATAATCTCTCAGGCTGCATATTTAACAGTAGAGGGGATCGTTTATGTGTGCATTAAAAGCCTGCGTTTGTATTGCTAAACCCAGGTTTGTGAAGTGCAAATATCTTTGCTTTTTTACAAGAACCCTGCCATTAGTGCTGGAAGTTCACTTACTAAACTGAAGTTCAAATACAACGACATTAATACTTGCCAGCCTTATTTTTAAGAGGTAACTAGTTTATAAAAGTTTTGATAGCATCTTGTTTTAAAGATGCAAAACTGCTTTATTAAGGAAAAATACTATATTTAGACATGTTTGCTTTATATATTATGCTTTATTATTATTTATTATTATATTTAGACATGTTTGCTGTGATTTTTCATAGCAAAGGGCACTTAAAGGCACTTGAAACTTGAAGTCTTAAGAAAATGATTTTTTTTTCTCTCTTCTTAATAGCTGCATCCCAGGGAAGATGCCTGTATGCCCAATGCCAACTATGGTGTTCTTTTAATAGAGTTTTTTGAATTATATGGACGTCACTTCAATTATCTGAAGACTGGAATCCGAATAAAGGATGGTGGCTCTTATGTTGCCAAGGATGAAGTGCAAAAAAGCATGCTGGATGGCTACAGACCATCAATGTTGTATATCGAAGATCCATTACAGCCAGGTATCCTCATAAACCCAGATTTAACGTATTGACTAAGAAACAAAGGTAGGGGAGTGCTTAATCCAGAGGAACATAGAATGACTACCAAAACCCAAACAGAAACACCTCATTCGTGTCTATGAACACACGATGCATTCAGAACACAATGATTTTCTTTAAGACATGTTCTTAGCAAAAGTTACCGTGTCACCCAAGAGCATGCCCGTTATGCAGTCAGGAGGTAGGGTATGAGAGGGCACGCCAAACAACTTCCACGTGCTCTGTGGTAACAGCAGCGAAGCTACAGCAGCATGGGCCTGAATGTGGGCTAGATGTACCTGCGTGTACGCACGGTCCCTTTCAAGCTTCTGCTTGCCTGTATCACAATTGCATCTTATAATGTACGTATACTCTTATGCGTGCTCCCCCGTTTGATTCTGTAAAGTCATGTAAATATATAGTGGCTTCATTTGGTACTGTTACCTTTATGTTAAAGTTGATTATTGACTTGAATGGGTGGCTTCTGAAATGGCGAGTCAAGTGCTGTTCATAGAAAAGAGTTAACATATTTCTGATCTAAAAAAATGTCATCCAGGATAGTACTGTTATATGTGTAATATATGCACTGCATGATTTTTTTTTTTTTCTTCATGTATCGCACTTTTACCCAGAGAATTGCCATTTTGGACTTCTGTACATGTACATATCTATAGGTCTTTGAAGCTCTTTCAAATATATATGATTCACTAATCCTCTTCTACTCCACAAGAAGTAACTGCAGTGAGTTGGGACTTAAGGGCAATTTTAAAAAATATTACTGTCTCCTGTCTGAAAGGAGGTAACCACAGTTTCAATCCTATTTATTTATTTAATTATATTCTTATTTTAAGGTAATGATGTTGGGAGGAGTTCCTATGGTGCCATGCAAGTGAAACAGGCTTTTGATTATGCCTATGTTGTTTTGAGCCATGCAGTTTCCCCAATAGCTAAATATTATCCTAACAACGAAACAGAAAGGTAATTTTATGAGTCTAAATCTCAGCCATTAATTGCTTGTATTTTTGTGTACCTAAAAATTAATTGTGGTGACATTTGGTGTTTTGTTCCCCCCCCGGTTTACAGTATATTAGGTAGAATAATTAGAGTAACGCAAGAAGTGGCCACATACAGAGACTGGATATCCAAGCAGTGGGGAATGCAAAGTAGGACAGAGTCTTCGTGTAATGGTAAGTTTTGACTGAGCATGGCTGATAGTGGGGAAACTTTCTGCATATTTTGGTCATATAAATATTGTTGTTGGTTTTGCCCCACATAAGGCAACGTGCGCATCTTACGTTTTTGCTCAGTAGTGATAGACTTTTTCTTGTGTTCTCATCCAGAAAATTTAGATTTGTACAAGAATAAAAAGGCTATACCACAACATCTTTATTCTACTGCAATAGATTTGGTCAGCACAGAGGTCTGTAAAGAGTGCTGGCTTGCAAAAGGAGGCTTTTGAAAAATTTCCAATTTAAATTACATGTGGTGTTACTGTCACGCTTCATTTGTCCTTTCAATGTGGACAAGGTTTTAAAAAGAATTACTGGGAATGCTAGTTTAAATCTAAATCCTTACCCTCCATTGTTCTTCTATTTTTCATTTTAAAGTTTAGCATATTATATGTGTACAGAAGCAATCTTTAAAGCAGGATTGACCATATAAGTGGAATAAGTCTTTAAAACAGAGAAATCCTGAACTAGCGATCGTAATTCTTGTTACTGACAAATGGAGACACACAAAATCTAGCCAGAGAATGTGCTGAAGATGTCCTTTAAAATCATCTTTATTATTATTGTCCATCTTCTGACTCCACCAGCTAGTTGTCACCCTCTTTTGGTGTAGGTGTATCTCCTGGCTGAAAGTTTTCAAATTAAAATTATTACTCTACAATTAATTTTAGAATGTTAGCTACTAGAAGTCTTCTCTTGTGAGGAATTAATCAGAGAAGGTGACACAACTACCCGGTCTTTAGGCTAGGTTGGGATTTTGTTTGTTTGTTTTTAAAGCTTTTGTTAGTGATTTCCCTCGCTGTCCTTGTAAATTGAATGTGCTGCTTGGCCTTCATGGTTTATCGATCTGTAGACCCTTGTGGCATTGCCGTACCCCCTGCTAATGGCAGACAGCTGCGGTTCAGTCCCGCAAGCTCCAGAGTAATACTCAGCTACCTATTGTGATGTATGTATTAAATTCTATATACAAATGCAGCTAGTGGGGTATATCATATAAATCAGAGGTAACTCCTAGGTGTCTTATGTAATGAAAAAAATAAAAATAACCCTATATCAGGAAGATAATGGTGACAGTTACAGTGGTCATCTTGTAGATTTAGTTTCGATTTAAATTCCAATTTTTTTTTTTTAAATTAAGGTAGCAGTTAGTGAGATATGAGAGTTCTGGATCTTGTATTTTCAGCGTAGGGTGTTGTACAAAGCAACCAGACTTATTTGGAGTTCTTATGAGCCTAGCAGCTCCAGCAGAATTAAAATGGGAGTTGGAGTATTGGGCATGTAGGAACAGAATTTAAACCTATGTATTTGAGTGCTGTTGAAGTGTGTCGTGTTACTAAGCAGCACATCGGAGCTCTGTTACTACCTTCTTCCATGTCTTATCTCTCTAATTTCCATCTTGAGCTGCGGGTAATGCTTGGTGGTTTTCATAGTGTACATTAATGGATCTTGTCAGGAAACCACCACACCCCCTGCGAGGTGTTGGCTTGCTGCATGCAGTACATACATACAAACACAGGCACACATGTGCCTGCATGTATTAAAAGTATGTACGTGTGCAGATGTCTGTAGTGTCCTGCTGGATATAATAGATACATAGTACCTGAGAGGGTTTTTTTTTTTTTTTTTTTTTTTTTTTTTTTTTTTTTTTTTTTTTTAAAGTAACATTTTAGCAGTTAATGTGTGGTGATGCTTCTGTTTTGTTTTTAATAGGTAATGGAGTAGCCTTGATAGTAGATACTCAGCAGCTAGACAAATGCAACAATAATCTTGCTGAAGAGAATGAAGCACTGGGGAAACCTAGAAATAAAACTTCAGAAACACTTAGTAAACATTCTTCAAATTCTTCTTCAGGTCCTTTATCATCATCATCATCTACGCTGTCCAGCTCTAGTGATGTAGTAAGTACTGGAGGTTTTCTGATTTTGTTTTTTCAGTTTGTCTGGGGCTTTTTTTTCCTGATTTGTGTTGCTACAGAATACATTGGGAAAGCTTGGAATCCTAGTTAGTTATTTCATCCAGAATCCTAACTTGCATAAGATGTTGCCTCTTATGCAATTTCTACACATGTAAGTTGCAGTATGTTTTTGACACAACACAGGTAGAAAGAGTGGACACAGCAGATACAAAGTTACGTAGTCCTCTTTTCTCTGGGAAAACTGTATTTAAAAAAAAAAAGACTGGTAGTTCTAAGCCATATGCTTTAAAAAAAGCCTTAAAAACCCCCTCTGTTTGGGAATTCTATTTAAAGAATAAAAGACAAATCCCAAAATCAGAATCATGCACCAATACATTTTTAAACCTGTCTGTTTTACTCAGTAAGAATTCTGTATTGAAAGAATTTTAGTATCTAATAAAATAAACACGTTTTAAGTCTTGTCCACTGCTAGCTTTATTTTTAAGGGAAAACTCACTTGTAGAAAAACTCAACTTACTCTTAAGAAAAACTCACTAATACTTTACATTTTCCTGAAGGATTCTGATGGAACACCTTGCAAAACCTCTAAACAATTGAGTTGTCGTCAGTCTACCACAAACAGAGTGGGGTCACAAGAAGTGTCACTGGAATCCTCCCAGTCAAGTGGGAAAACACAAAATAGCCAAACAGCCAATACATCCAGCAACACGAACAAATCTCAGGTTTGTGAAATGTTTGGAAACAACAACAACTGTATAGATTATTTGAATATTACACATGCCCTCCATGGAAGGGTAGCTTTTTCTGGAAAGGAAACACTGCGTTTTTCTCCTCCCCTTTACCCCACTAGAAAGCTTTGAGCAGTGATTGTATCTAAAATAAGCTGGTTCTCTGTTTAGCTTACAGAGATGAGTTTACAAGTGGCTTTCCCAGCCTTAAAACAAATGAAGTTGGATTGACTTTACGTTGGGAAGTATAGACTTGCCGGAAGTGTACAGCTGTGTTGCACCCATTTCCTTTTTGCAAAAAGCACATCAGTCCAGTCTGTACTGCAGAATTTGAAAACTAATGAGACTTGCCTACACTTAGTGAAAAACAGTTAGTGAAAATGTATGTTTAAAACTATGACTGGCTGCTCTGTTAGCTGTTGATACTTGAACTGTCTTTTGTTAAGGGAGATGAAGATTCCTTGCTGATACATGAAATTTGTCCCCCTGAAGACAAATATCTTTATGATGAGACGTACCAGAGCTTAAGCATTTAGGGGATTTCTCATGTTGAGGAATGCTTCTTTGACAACTCAGTAATCTGGAAATACTATATGACTCTATATACAATATACTTTGGATATATGCAGCTTAAATTTTTTACACTTTTTCAGAAGTTAGGGCTTTTTTAATGTATGAAGAATAGTCTGGAGTCTTCTGGAATATTATTCCTGAAAAGTAACTCTGAAGACTTGCTGCCTCCTACTTGCTGATGATCTATCTCTAGCTAGCAGTGAGACAGTTTAGAAACTAGGCCTTGGATATACCATGAATATGCGTTTGTGTTACTACGTAGAGCTAATTCTGGTGCTGGAATGTGAATATGCATGATATGAGATACTCTACATCTGTAAAAAGATGTGGTATAAAATTAGTCCTGGTCTTAAAAGAATGTTGTCCTACTTTTGCACAGAAGATGAGATTTGAGCAATATTAATCTGTTGCCTTGGACTATGGACTTCTGTTTTTGTAAAATGCTTTTTTGATGGTTGCGAAATGGGAGCAGTAGAACAGTTCCGTCCTTTTCAAAATTCAAAGTGCTCTCTTCTTCTCTCTTGACCTGCATGGGTTTGAGTATAGAGATGAACATTTGTTTGCAAACACTGAAGTGAAACATTCGTGGTACTGTGCTGTTGTCTAAGCAATGGCCTAGCTTCTTTTGCCATATCAATTTTTTGAAGTGTGACACTTTCATGAGTTGACATCCTCATTAGCCAGAAATAGGGTTGTGTAATTGCCACACTTTCTCTTTTTAGCACTGATTTACCATGTTCTCTTTCTTTTACAGCATGGATCTGCACGGTTATTTCGCTCTTCTAACAAAGGCTTCCAAGGTCCAACAAACTCAAGCCACGGTACCTCAGTTACAAACAAACAACATCAAGGCAGCAAATCACACCATCAGTTTTTCCACGGCAAAAAGAGGAAACACAAGAGGGATGCGGCCCTTTCAGACCTTTGTAGATAGTTGCCTATTTTACGACTGTTCTTCTGTGTGCAATGATCTCATGCTACAGGATAGTTTGATAGTGACTCCTTGGATCTCTTCCGGAGCTTCAGACTGTTCAGACATTGATTAGCAACTGCATTTTTTTTTTTCCCAGCTCGCCACGGAACGGATCATGAAGATTGATCACTGCAAAAAAAAAAAAACAAAAAAAACAAAAAAAAAAAAAAAAAAAAAAAAAAAAAAAAAAGGGAAAAAAAGGAAAAAAAAGAAAAAAATTAAAAAAAAAAGAGGAAAAAGGCTGCTCATTTGATAAGTCATACGCTACAACAGGGTCATTTAGGATATAAAAGCTTGAATGTAAAATAAATGTATTTCCCATCAGCTCATGCTGACCTGTAGAGGTAGTACTCAGTGTGTCTAGGAGGTGGTAACAAACAAATAAAACACAAAAAAAAATAGGAAAAAAAGGCAAAATATTGTATTTTGAGGGAAACCCAGCCTTTAAAGTGAAATTGTGCATGATTTTTTTATTATTTTTGCGTATACTTACCATTTTATTGTGTATATATCGATGACCATATAGGAAAACTGACATTTGTAATAGTGGATTTGTTAATACGTTTTACATAACATTACTGTTTAAATTGTAAACAGAAATTTTTCTCAGGATTAGTTTGGAAAATAATCCAAGTTGTCATCTTAACATCCATATAAAGAGACATTACTAGTTACATTGCTCAGAATTTTTTTTTCTTGGCATTTAAAAGATTTAATAGAACATTTGATCTGCAAAAGCTGTTCCTCTGAAAGAAAGGTTTATGGTGGCAAATGAAGCTTCTCATTTGTATAAAGTGTACGTGTACTTTGTGTGGACACTGAGTTTGTCATCTCAGAGAAGTAACCTTCACCTTGTTTTCTAGAGTGCCATCATTTCAGGCAATGGGGTTTTATAGTTGCATCCTTCTCTTCTTCCCCTTAGTGGTCTCTCCCCAACCCTTTCTTTTTTTTAAAGAGATACAAAGCCACTTGGGGGTTTTTTGTTTGGTGGTTGGTGGTGATTGTTTTCTTTTTCTTCGGTTTTAAAAAAACAAACAACAGAACTCAGTTTATTACAAATGTTTTGCATTCCTGGGCTGCTTTAATCCCATGCCTCTTTGTTTGTGCCTTCCCTCCCCCTTCCAGGTCTGGGTTTTTTTGTCTTTTATATTTTTGCTAACTCCTTTAGGAGATGATAACTGTTGAAGCTTTAAGTAAATTTTACAATTGAAGTATTTTTTTCTCACTCCCCTCTTAGGCATTTTTATATTTACACTTAATTATTTTAAAAAAAACCAAAACAACTTCGAATAATGAAATATATTTTGTATTGCCTTAAAGACCCAAACCTTTCATATCTCATAGTATTTCTTCATTGACCTAGTTATCATTTAATTTAAACTCCACATTTGTCTGGTTCAGTCGCATTACAAGTCTAGGTTGCAGTAACTTTGATGCCATGAATGCGAATTAAATGTGTAATTTCACTCACAGGCATAGCTTGGAACAGGAGTTGGGACACTTCAGTGGTAGAAAGTTAAGTGGCATTTACTTTCACATATTTCTTTAAAGAGGAAAGTCTGTACTCTGCATACGTGGCTGTATTTAATGCAGCTGTTCTGGAGATGATGCTTTTATAAAAAGTAATACTAGCTTTTAGAAACTTCTTTTAATATACATTTACAGACCATACAGACCAACCTGACCTTTAATGGGCACTAATGAGTGCAATGATTTTTAAAGTAAAACAGTGCTAAAATAAGATGAGAACTGATGTCATCACTTAAATTAATAAACATTTTCAATGTGTTAAAGTGTTTTACTTCAAAAAAGAACATACATATATTCCAAAAATACGGAAAGTCATAACACTTACTCGAACACTAAGCTTAAGTGATGTTAATTTGACAATTTTTTTTTTAAATTTTAGATTCATATTTTAATTTGATCAGATAATTTTATCAACAAGATGTTGAGCTTTTGTTCATAGAAACCAGTAAAAGTTGTACCACGTTATGCATAATCACAGTATTTATTTTGTTTTAGATTATTGTGAATGTGTAGACTTATGTTCACTGCTTAGGGAACAATTATTTATAAATTATATTAATCCATTATTGTTAGCTGCTATTAGCAAAACTGTTCCAAAACTTAATACTTGCAGAGATCTGTATCGCATTTACCACACTGAAGTGTTTTTAAAAGAATCACCCTCATCGTTGAAAGCAAATGTACTCTTAGGGTGCAGATATTAGTGTTCCAATAAGCATGTGATAATTTTAAGGTGGTGGTAGCGGGAAGATAATCTTGATTCCATTGGGAATCTTAGGTTTGCCTCAATTTATGGTTTTCATAAATTTAATGGAAAATAGCTTTTCCTGGACTGCTCAAGTTTCTTTTTGGTAAACAGTATCTTTCTAAAAGAAAAAAAAAAAAAAAAAAAAAAGGAAAAAAAAAAAAAGCATGAAGGAAAAATTGAGGTGTTTTACATTGCCTCAAATGACCAGCATTGTATTCATAAAAGACTGTATATCTTGCAAATCTTTATTTAAACAGAACAGTTGAACTGTTCGTTTTTCAATCTGAAGTAAAATACTTTCAAGACCTTTTAGTTTGCCTGCTCATTTGTCTTGTACGTTTCATCTCTGTATTTGACTCAAGTCTAATTCCTTTTTGAGTTTCAGTATTTTTGTGAAGATTTTGTGAATATATGAAAAATAAATGTTTAATCTAACTACTGCAGTTTATCACCATTCTTGACACTTACCCTGTTTTTTCCTTCACCGTACTGTGGAAAGAGCAGACTCCTCAAGGCGCTTTGGTAATGTTTTTGTAGTATCTGGGTGCTTCCCCAGCTGAGTGCTGGGCCCCTCTGCCTGCAATTTGGAAGCTTATTTTGTTGAGGTGGACCTGGTGTGCCACGTTTCCTTCCAGGAGAGCTGCAGCGGAGTCTGTGTGCCTGAGAATAAGTAGAAGAATATACACATCTAAAGGGTTCTTAATGTATTATTTTTCTCTAAATTTCCTCTGCACTACACAGCAGAAACTTGTGCAAGGATCAGTTTACTGTGCCTTCCGAACTTGGGTTAGGGGTAGTGTTCCAGCTGCAGGACAGCAGCTGTTCAAAGCTGCCACGCTGAGGAGGGCATTGTAGAAATATGCAGAAGTTAATTTCTAGAAACCTTCTTTAGCATAGTTCCTGAAGCATGGTTGATATTACTAAAGTATATTCTTAACTTTGGTTATCTTTCTTCCTTCCTTGCATAACTCAGCAGAGAGATGTACACATATTGAAAGTTCTTGTAGTCTTGCTGCTGGTAGGCTACCAAAGACCATCTGAAATACGTAAATAAGCTGAAATGTTTATGTATCTTCCTGTTTGACTTTAGACTGAGTTGTTAAGGGGTTTTTAACTTTTTTTTAAAGTATAGTTCAAACAGTGTTTATAGTTGAAAGCTGTGTATTTATTAATTTTTTTTTAATTGTCAGTCTTCTCCTTGTGGCAGAAAAGAAGCTGAAATGTAAGTAAATCTTCCTGTTTGAGACATGACATGATTCTGTTTAGTGACCTCCATGTTCTGTGCAGCTTCCTCATTATTTGCAGCTCACATTTTTAAATGTTCATAATAATAAATTTGTTTTCCGAAAACTTAATCTTTAGAAAACATTGAGTAGTCCAATGGCTGGTGGCAACTTTTCCTTTTTTTAATGTACTTTCAAAATGGACCTTTTCCATTTTCTATCTGGAGTCATCATGTGTGCATCCTAAACACAACATGCGAGCAAGTGATTAGAAAATAGTCTCATCTTGAAAATGTATTGTAAATAAAAGCAGCCAGCCATTCAACATTTTGACGGCTGTTAAATCTCATGATAGGTGTTAAAACTGAATGTGTGACTCCAACTTTATTTTCTGAAGAGTAAAAGCTGTAGGAGACTACAAAGTATGTGATTACTCAAGAAGGAAGTATGTTTACCTATTTAAGGGCTGTAACAAAAAAATACATTATTCCAGCTACTGTTAAAGCTGCCAAAAGAGGTGATTACTTATTCTGCTGATTCCTAGAACTTGATTCTTTTGCTTAACGATGCAAAATAATTTTCTGAGAATCAAGTTCACCATGTCTTGAAACAGTGTTTGTCTTGAAAGTGCAGAATTTGAGAGCTTTATTTTCTAGCTGATTTGTAGTGTTTCCACAAGTTTTCCTCAAAAATGTTTTCCAGTTGCAGTGACCTAAATGTGTGTCTTGACTCTATTTCCAGGAGTCATTTGCCAGCAGTTCTAACAGATACGTATTCATGGATTCATCTATTAGGTTGAAACCAGCCTTGCAGTTCTTGTGGTGCTTAAATACCTCACAGTTGTGGATTTTTCTGTGCCAAAGTTACAGGGCTCCTCCTGGTAGTAATTTGCTCTGAGCCTAATTGACTAATCTTCAAAGGTTGGTTGGTAGGATGTTTGAGATGATCCCCGAGAAATTATCCAACACCAAGAATCCTTTGCAAGTTGCTTAATGAACAATGTTCTAAGTAATAGAAGAATTAAAATGCAAATGGCCTTATTGGGTCTTTACAAGCCCAAAGTTTGTGTCAAGTATCTACTTGAAAAGGAAATAGGAATAAAAGGGCCAGAAAGTGGCTGTTACCTGTGCGTTTTAGCACAGTAGTGCTAGTATCAAATTAATCTGCATTTTAGATTACTCTAAAATTTAGATCGGTTAACTTTGAACAGCTTTGATTTTAACTCTTAGTATATTTAGTGATTTCACCACCATGACCATTTTATTGATGTGTGGACTCCAGAAACGTCTAACAGAAGTGTGGTGCCTTTGTTGGACACCTTGACCACAGACTTGGTTGGGGTACAGTTCCATAGGCCTCTCTCTGGGCAGTTGCTAGCTTAAAAATGGCCTGTTCCCCTTTGCTCCTTCCTATAGCAGCGCAACCAGTGCTGAACTTGATACGAAGCTTGGGAAAAAAAGAATCACGAATCTGTAGCGTGCTGTAAATTAATACGTAAAAGCTGATGGGATCCTGAAAATGACTTATGTACGCAAATAAGGGTGGACGAAGAAGAAATCTTGGAGATCCTCCGCATAAAAGCCATTTGGAGGAATGCTATCTTCCTGCCTTCCAAGATGCATGAACAGTGAGGTGCCGTGAGTCTTCTGGTGAGTCTGTTTGCTC